AGGAAAGGAAGTTGCCAGTTATTCCAATGTTAATGTTGCATACACAGCTGATTTTAAGGCTTTGGCTTGGTGGAATATACATAAACAATTTTTTCCTCTATTGGACAAAACAAGCTGCAAAATATTTCGCATTCCAGCGAGTAGCGCGGCTGTACCCATAGGGTGAAAGGGTATACTGGTTTTGTGCGAATGTATGTAACAGGGAGAAGGAGGCGTGGCAGAGCCCTCAAAGTATATATATATTCTTTATCAGGGTGACAAGCCGAGGTGATATAGCCATGTCTGTCTGTCCGTCTGTATGATCGCAAGGATTGAGCTCCCTCGACTTTAGCATTCCTTTCTTGTTTAATCTGCAGGAAGAGTTGGATCAAAACGATCAGGCCTTAGTCTCAAGAGCAGATTTGCCGTTCTGCGGAGTCAACTGAGCTGCCGTCAACATCGCTCGTGAGCTTAAATCAAAGCTTTTTGTCAAATCTACAATGTCAGGAACTAGATAGTCTCATCCGTAAATTCTGGGAGTTGGAAGAAGTTCCAAATTTGTCCGATCAGAGTTGTACACCCCAGAACAAGTGCTTTAGGAAAAAACATTTCTCGAATCGGTCAATTGGTTACCCTCGGGCAGGCTGACTGTATCCTTGCCATTCAAATCCAGCCCCAAAAGTCTCGGAAATTCAAAAGAGACAGCCTTAAGGCGGTTCTTGCCTTTGGAAAGGAGAATGGCAAAGCAGCCTGATACACAATCTATGTACATTACCTTCATGAAGGAGTACATTTCGTTGGGCCATATGAGTGCCACTGAGAACAGTTTGCCGAGAGAGCCGCATTATTTTATCCCGTACCAATGCGTGCTAAGACCACAAAGCACATCAACAAAGTTGAGAGTTGTTTGCGACGCGTCGAGCAAGACGTCGTCACAATTGCCTTTAAATGACATTCTGATGGTTGGCCCAACCATACAGCCATTGTTGCGATTTCGGCTTCATCCATTTGCGTTGTCGGCAAACATTGCAAAAATGTACCGAGAGGTCGAAATCAATGAATCACATCGCAATTTCCAGCTTATTATTTGAGGAATCAATTCCACTGAACCACTCCAATTGTATCGTTTAAATGTGGTAGCATACGGTACTGCTTCGGCACCGTTTCTGGCAATCCGTTGCTTAAAGTACCTGAGTGAGCTACATGCTATTTCGCATCTTTTGGCATCAAAGTCTGCTATCTGGAGGAGATACAGTGGAAGAATTGCGAATGCTACGGAATGAGCTAGTTTCAGTGCTCGACGAAATAGTGATCTCATCAGGAGGACACGAAGACGTTGGGGCTCATTTGGAGCCCGCGTGATGACGCTTTTAAATATTCAATATTGGACATGGCGATAGACATTGCCCCCACCAAGCGCTCGATTTAATCGTTTATATCCAGATTGTACGACCCGCTTGGTCTACTTTGTCCGATTATCACTCGAACAAAATTTCTGATGCAAGAATCAAAAATCCGCTTCGGATGACAAAATTCCTGACCATTTGCTGTCAGACTTGCAGTCAATTGCGCAGTCATTTCGTAAAATTGAGGCGATACGCATTCATCGATATGTCAGTGTCACTAAAGGCACAAAATGCCAGGTTCATGACTTTGCTGACGCATCGACAAGGGCTTATAGGTGCTGTATTTGCTGTGAATTTGCTGACTGCAAAGTCGAAGGAAGCGCCTCTGAAAACAAAGTCGGTGCCACGCTTAGAATTGTGCGCGGCACACTTGCTCGCAAATTTGTGGGAGAAAGTTCGGCATCTTTGGTCTGATTCTGAGGTAGTCCTGCATTGGTTGCAAACTCACATCTTCACATCTGAATACATTTGTCGCCAATAGAGTTGCTACCATACAGGAATTGACATCAGACGCCACTTGGCGCCATGTACCGACTGGTCCAAAGTTTTTACAAAGTGACCAAAACCTTTGGCCAACTAATTCTCACATTAAGTTGACCAAAGAGCATCAGTGCTGGAGAAGTGGAAGAATGCGACGGTTCTCATCGCGGACGATAATGCTTCAAATCCAATTTTGGAAAGGGGTCAGGACACAAATCACTTGTGCCAACTTCGGTTGAATTGCACTTCGCCTTTTTGGCCATTGTGCACGTAATTCAGCATACTGCTTTCACAGCCGAAATAGTCAATTTGGACAAGTCGGTGATGCTGCAACCGTCGTACCAGAAGCTTAATCCATTTCTGAGTCCTTATTAGTATGGAAAGCGGACTTTGATGTTTGTACGAGTTGGTGGCCGTTTACTCAAAGCGCAGTTGCCCTACAATACTCATGCCAAAAGGATGGCGATTTGTTAATTTACATCTGCGGTATATGAACCTTACCAATTGCCATGCAGGCCCTCGAGCGCTCTTGGCTATTCTTCGCCAGAATACTTGGCTGGTAAACGCTAGACAGTGTGTGCGGAGTGGACTTTTGTGGTCCAATTCCTGTCACGCTGGGAATACGTGGCAGAGCGCCAGTTAAGATGTACGTTGCCGTCTTTGTGTGTTTTACGTCTAAAGCTGTCCACATTGATATTGTTTCCGACTTGACTGCTAATTTCTTTATTATGTGTCTCTCCAGGTTTGTGGGTCGCCGTGAAGCAGTCCGTCGAATCAACTGCGACAATGTCATCAACTTTGTGGGTGCAGCGCGCTTGCTGGAGGAGTTCCGGGCCACTTTCATTAGAATCCAGTATGCCATCACATCGTATGCTGCCACCAAGGGAATAACTTTCGAGTTTATTGCCCCTCGAGCGCCGCATTTCGGCGGTTTATGGATAGTGGCCGTAAAGGTGACAAAGGGACTCCTCCTCAAGGCAATAGGAAGCGCCAAGCTGCGGTAGAACGAGCTGGCAACCGTCCTGGTAGAGGTGGAGGCCATCCTGAATTCGAGGCCAATCGTGGTGGACGGAGCGAATCCCAATGACGGCTAGGCGACAACATTTGTTATGCGTATGCTGAGATATGCATGGCTAGCAATAAACACTTGAAAATTGGAAGTCGATTTGTCCAGTTCATTATAGCCTGTACCCAAAGGGTAAAAGGCTATATTAGTTTTGTGCATGTAACATACAGAAGGAGGCGTGGCAGACCTCACAAAGTATATATATTATTGATAAGGATGACAAGCCGAGCCGGTATAGCCATGTCCGTCTGTCCGTCCGTCTGTATGAACGCAAGGATCTCAGGAAGTACAAGAGCTAGAATAACCAAACTCGGTATCCAGATTCTCCTGAGTCCGAGAAAGGACGAGTTTGTGTTTTTTTCTGATACACCAAGCATGACAAGACGAGTCGATCTATGTCTGCTTGTCTGTCTGTCCGTCTGTCTGCCTGTCTGTCCGTATGAACACCTGGATCTCAGAGACTATAAGAGCTAAAGACACCAAATTTTGCACAAAGATGCCTTATGTGTGTACGCTGTACAAGTTTGTATTATTTTTTTGATTTTCCCCCTATGGGGGTTTTCCCGATTTTCCAAACGTATAATCGCCTATATCTCGGAGACTATAAGACCTAGGAACACCAAATTGTATTCCCAGATGCTTTATGTGAATACGCAGAAAATGTGTATTTTGGAATTTACCTCCCTCCACCCTTTCTCCCGCAAATCGCGATTTTTTTTTAAGTCCCGTAATTCTTAGAAATTCGAATTAAAATTTTGCAAATACCCTTAGTTAGTAATTATGTGTCCGTATGCCAGGTTTCATTACGATAGACCCATTTAACAAGAAGTTATAGCCATAAAGATATTTGCTGCCCAAGCTCTGTGTGAGCTGGTTTGCAGTCAACCAAAGCACCAACATCAACAACAGCTGCTGGCAGCGCTTGGGCAGCAATTATATCGATGGTTAGTACTTCCTGTTAAACCAGTCTATCATGATTTTACTTATGAATGGTCACTAATTGCCTGGGAGAGGGGGGAGGGAGGGAAATTCCAAAATACACTATTTGTAAGCCTCAAGTTTGAGTTAGAAATTACACGAATTACGGGAGTTATGCATCAGAAATAATGAACAAACTTGATCGGCCTAGGGCATAAGGGAATCAGGAAACCAACTTTGGTAATTCTAGCTCTTCTGCCTTCTGAGATCCTTGCATTCATCCAGACAGACTTGCCTATATCGACTCGTCTTGTCATGCTGATCAAGAACATACAGACTTTTGGCTTCTGCCACTCCCCCTTATGTGTGTTACTTACAATCGCACTAAACTAGTACATATACCCTTTTGAATCTTTTGGTACAGGGTATAATTATCTTAACGTTTTATTTTATCCCTTTAGGATTTGTGATCAAACACCGAGAGCTGTTATCAAGTTAAAACAAGAGAGAACGCTACATTCGAGCAAGCCCGACAGTGAAATACCCTGTACCCAGGTAAACTTCTGACACTGAGGTATATGCGCCCATAGCAGATGCAATAAGAGCAAGAAGAAGAGCGAACTTGTTGCTGCAGTTTGGGGGGTTGCACTGGAGAGAATTTGTTCCCTAATAACTTTTCTTAGAATTGACCGAATTAGATAAAATTTTAAACAACAGTAGATAATTATATATAAATGATGTGTGCAGTTTGGGTTAGGTAGCATTTGAAATGTGGACGCTATTGATGAAATTCTGTAGCGCGGGAAGGGGGGAAAATTCCAAAAAATAACATAAACTCGTCCTTTCTCGGACCTAGAAGAATCTGGATACCAACTTTGGTTATTCTAGCTTTTATACTTTCTGAGATCCTTGCGTTCATCCAGACGGACAGACGGACGGACAGGCAGACGGACGGACGGACATGTCTAGATCGATTTCTCTTGTCATGCTGATTCAGAATATATATACTTTATGGGGTCGGAGATGCTTCCCTCTGCATGTTACATACTTTGCACAAACCTAATATACCCTTTTTACCCTACGGGTACAGGGTATAAACACTCGTAAATAGTTTTCATACATATTTTATTCATATTATGTTATATCAATTATTACAATGTTCTTTGAAAAGTTCAGTTATTTTGCATAAATTCATTTCTTTACAGTATAAACAATTTTAAGTTAAATTTCATAAATAATTCATAAATTGTGGTTTTGCTAATGCATGCGAATACCAAAATATAAATACATGTGAAATAAATTAGATACATTACTTTAAATTAGATACTTAAAAAGCGATAAAGTCAACTGAAGAATAAACGTTACTGGCTGGCAATGTCGCCGGCCGTTTCGAGCAGCCTTACTATTACTATAAAACCAAAAAGGGATTTGTAACCAAGCAATTAAATAATTTCGGCCAGACAATAAGTGAGTTTAGAATGGACCGTGATAGGTAAATAAGTATTACCATTGGTTCGACGGGCGACGTTCCGCACCGGGCGCAGCACTTCCTGAGAAACGTGGCGATGAGCTGCTGCTCGGCATGCCGTTGCTGGCGGTATCGTTGGTCAGGGTGTAAATTGCTCCAAGCAGCTTTTTCCGTGCCCCGAACGCCGTGATTCCCAACTCCATAAGATTTTCCTCCGTAAGGGTGGTGAATATATCCAAATCTATTTCGTTCAGTACGAAAATTTCTGCAATTACACAAATTGTTGGAAATTATCTGAGTTCAAAGCTCGTCATTAATTTTCAAAAAAGAGAAGAAACCAAAACTTTAATGTTTGATATGTAGTATCTATAAAATAAGCCCAGGGGTACATTTTCCTCAAGTGGTCATATGAATTTTCGGCGTTTATTACATGAAATGTGCAAGAGTATATTAGGTTTGCGCGTGCTCAAAAAAGTAACAGGCAGAAGGAGGCGTGGCAGACCCCACAAAGTATATATATTCTAGATCAGCATGACAAGGCGGGTCGATCTAGCCCTGCCTGCTCGTCTGTCCCTCCGTCCGTCCGTATGAACACCTGGATCTCAGAGAATATAAACTAGAGACACTAAATTTTGTCAAAAGATGCCTTATGTGTGTACACTGTGAAAGTTTGTTTTATTTTTTAAATTTTCCCCCCCACTTCCCCCTATGGGGGTTATCCCGATTTTCCATTCGTATAATCGCTTATATCGCGGAGACTATAAGACCTAGGGACACTAAATTTTATTCCAAGATGCCTTATGTGCACATGTAGAAATGTGTATTTTGGAATTTCCCTCCTTCCCCACAATTAGTGACCTCTCATAACTCCCGTAATTCTTGGAATTTCGAACTCAAATCAGGCTTAACAGGAAGTTCTAGCCATCAATATAATTTCTGCCCAAGCGCTGCCCGCAGCTGTTGTTGATGTTGGTGCTTTGTTTGACTGCAAACATGCTTACACAGACATGAATAGACACGCATAGCAATATACGTGAGTTCGAATACCGAGAGAGGTAAAATCGATACATTTTTTTTTTTAATTTTTTTAATTTTTGGAATTTTTATAATTATTCTAAACAGAGTACAGAGCATTTCAAAGTCGGGACACCCGACTTTAGCTTCCCTACTTACTTAAACATATTTAATTTAATCGTAATCCCTTTCAACATGGAACACATGCTACATCTTTGTGCTTTAACGTAATTCTGCTTCTGTTCCTTTTTATACTCTGTACATGAAATGTACAAAAGTATATTAGGTTTGCGCGAGGTGAAAAATGTAACAGGCAGAAGGAGGCATGGCAGACCCCACAAAGTATATATATTCTTGATCAAGGCAGTAAAAATCACGTAAAGGGTTTATAATTGCACTTTAACATAGCAATGGCGTCTATGTGAGTGTATGCATGTCTATGCGTGTCTGTGTGAGCATGTTTGCAGCCAACCAACAGGCAGGCACCAACATCAACAACAGCTGCGGGCAGCGTTGTGCCACATAATTGCTAACTGGCGGAATTTGCAAAATTTGAGCTCGAAATTCCAAGAATTACGGGAGTTATGAAAGATCACTAATTGCTTGGGAGAGGGGGAAGGGAGGGAAATTCCAAAAAATTTTCTGCGTATTCACAAAAGCCATCTTGAACTACAATACACATACACATAAGGCATTTTCGTGCAAAATTTTGTGTCTCTAGCTCTTATAGTCTCTGAGATCCAGGTGTTCATACGGACGGACGGACAGACTGACAGACGGTAATGGCTAGTTTGGCTTTTTGGCTTGTCAGCTTCTAAATTGAATGTTTTTTTCTTCAATTGAATTACATGTGTCTTAAACAAGTGGATTCACCAGGTCGCTACCGATGTACTAGGCAGAATAATTCCGTTTTTTGGCCTTAATTGGATGATATAGATCGGGGCATCATGCAATCATTAATATGACAAGACGAGTCAATATAGACATGTCCGTCTGACCGTCAGGTTAGATGTCAGGAAGTAAATGAATTAGAATAACCAACGTTCATATCCGTCTAATGCCTATGCAGATCCAGTTTCTGCAGTTTTTGCCTGTTACATACTTTGCACAAACCTAACCCTTTTTACCCTACAGGGATAAAAAATATAACTACATTTGCATTTGAGTTTATTCCAAAGCAATTGTATAGTATATAGCATAGGAGCAATAAAATATTATTTACGCACTAAATACACACTCATTTCAACATTTTTCTAAAGGTCGAGGGTAGCTCATGGGAAGTTGAAATTAAATTGTTCACTTTGCGTACGGGTAATTGATGACGCGTGGGAATGATCAGCTTCTAGGCTAAATTCTGAAGCGTTGCTCGTAGGTAGGAACCAACCGTGACTAAAATTAGCTGCATAATGATGCCTTTTTGCGAACCCTGTGTTTGCTTATACTTACTGATGTAATGCTCCAAACCAAGATTTGTCAGTAGCATGTGAATGTCCTTGTGCTGAGACAGCTGCGTACGCCTGTTAACCGGCGTCACATCCAGCAAGCCGGTCGTGGCACTTAGAGCGTAAGGTGAGTTAAGTCCAGGAGGCGGTGGCGGCATGTGCCAGCTCACATCATCCGTTGTCTCTATAGGTGCAGGTGATGTACGACTGAGGCCTATTCCCCGCCAAACTGGCGTGGGAGTGCGCAGTTTTCCTGCCACAGGATTGCGGTCCATGGCCTTAAATCCCAGGGCGCGCTTTATATCAAAATCGAGCGCATGTATCGGTTGTTGCTGCTGCTTGTGGCCGACGTTCAGTAGATCATAGTGAAGGCTTCGATAGCTTTCAGCGCTGCTAGGCAGCGCAGAGTTGACTCCGCCATTACTGCCCAAGCCAAGAAGCACACCATCGCTCAGACGTCTTCCGAGACGAACAGCTGCGCTCAGGTGTCCAGATTCATATGTCGATGAGTCCGGGGAGTGGTAGGTGTGTGCACCGCAGGACGATGAAGACGTCGATGAACTGATAGTTGTGGGAATTGGCGCATATGGAGGATATGATTGTTCCAGGGACGTGGTGCTGCTGCTAAAGCTTTGATAACCACTTGTGTTCTGACTGCAGCTGTTTCGTGGTGAGACGTTTAAGCTGGAGGAACAGGTAGACGGTTTTATTAAGCCGCTTGGCACTTTCAGATAGTTGTTGTGATTGACTGGTTGCACAACTGACTGTTGCTTCTGTCGTTGGAAACTGTTATTGTGTAGCTGCATATACTTATGCGTTGGTGCAGAAATACCCGTGGGTGTAGCCATGTTTTGATATGTGTCGTTGACATTCCCATTTAAAAGCAAATGGTTGTTATTAGCATATGGGGTCAGTGACCCAATAATTGCAGGCGGCAGCAGTGATGGTGTCTTCGGGCTGTCCGGATGGCCGGATAGTAGAGCTGACAATTGCACGCGGTACGCTGGACTACTATCCTTTTCTTTGGACATGAAATAATGTTCTGGTATTTCGGGTTTTATGATCGATGTTTTTAAGCGCAAAATTTCATGTCGGGCCTCATAAATTTTGTCTGAAAAATAAAAATGATGATTAGAGACAAGAAACACATACAATAAGTCTGTTTGCATAACAATTTGAGCCAATAGGTTATTTTCCTCTATAGTTATAAACCACCACTTTATACATTTCTTTTTTACTATTAAGTCTTACACTAGAAATAAATTTTTATCTATTTATTCTTTTCTTTTAGTAATCCATGGTCTGAGTTTAAGACTATTATTATGATACTATGATTTGACATTATCGGATTATTTACGAAAAAAGTCTCGAAGTAAAGTTTCAGCGGAATAGGTTTAAAGCTGTAGGACGAGAAGTTACTGAAACGGATAATTTCCAATTATACTATCTATATATATATAACAGTTTGTCCTGACTGACTGACTGACTGACTGACTGACTGATTGGTGATCAACGCACAGCCCAAACGGTAAAGGTTAGGAAGCTGAAATTTGGACTCAAGTATCCTTTCATAGTCTAGGTGCCCACTAAGAAGGGATTTTGGAAAATTCAAGCTCCAAAGGGGGGAAAAGTAGCTCCAAATTTTGTTTGAAAAATCCGCATTTTTCAACCGATCGACTTAAACTTAGTTTCTAAAATCAATTAAAGAATACAAATAAAACTGCATACTCGGAAATTTGTGTTGGAGCTTGAATTATTGGGGTTTTAATATTTATTCACTATTTCAAATGAAAATTAAAATTTGGATAATGTAATCTACGTAGCTAAATCTACAACTTTGCATTCAAGGATTTTCAAAATATGCATTTTACAAAAGCAGGCAGAACAAACAATACAAAATATCAAACAGTTGGGGACAACTAAGTATACATACACACACACACACACATGCAAGCAGCTGTTCGCGTAGTTGCGTGCAAACGATTGAAATAGCCAAAGCAAAATGTGAGACACTAATGTGTGAATGTCCATAGATACATATGTATGTATGTATGTATGTGCACATCAGAGCAAGAAATGTTAATTAATTGAAAATTATATAATATAACATTTTTAAAAGTAATTTTTTCTTTGTTTAGTGCATTTGGCATTAGTGTTTTCATTAATAACTTTATGCAGCAACAACAAATATCAAATAGTTGGGGACATCACATACACACACTCACACACAACAAGCAACAGTTCGTGTCTATGTGTGCGGTTCTCTACGTACGGTTGAAAAAGTAAAGAGAAACATACATATGTATGCCTGTGTATGAATATAGCATGTATGTACATTCTTATTAATGTATACATTGGGCAATCGAACACAGTTGTTTGATTGTAAAAAAAATAATGCTCTAAAAACAACAACAACTGCAAGTCATTGGCTCGCTCTTCTTCTTTCGTTTTTACCATTTAATGTTAATTGCAAAGGTAAAACGCCAAAATGTTACAGTTACCGTCGCTAGGCAACGACTGCGTAAGCGATAGTAAAGCAGAAACCGAATAACGGAGCTACGCATATTCTGCTTCGCATTGCGGGCAGATGTATGTATGTACTTGTATGTATATGATTTGTTCTTATTGATCTCAATAAATAATTCGATTTCATTATTTAAATATTCTGCTTATTGCATTCAAACTTCGATATTTTGATGGTATCGGTGCCAGTGGTTTTTGATCATGGCTCATCGCTGCACGGCATTGACACGAATGCCGTGTTTCATATTCCGAGTTTGTGCGTGGCCGTATTGACTCAATATGACACGAAAAGACTCAAATGTGAATTTAAATTTGGACTCAAGTATCCTTTCATAGTATCCATCATAGTGGAGGAGCACACTAAGAAAGGCTTTTGGAAAATTCTAGCTCCAACGGGGGGAAAACGAGCTTTAAAAAATATTAGTTATAGTGGTCATGTTCGTTTAACGAAATAGTTTGTCAAGAACAAAAATGTAACGGACTACTGAACAATTTTTTGTCAAGAACAGAAAATGTTCATTTAAATACCTTAAATGCCTTCCTACTGGTAACCTTTAAGGTGAAAACATATGGGTAGGTTATGCACACACAAAATAAATACAATTGGAAACATATTGAGCCGGGTTAAGACGGGCAATACCTGCTAGTACATACATATATACTTAGTATCTATGACGAGATGTCAATCCCATTAAATATGTAATGGCTAATAAATAACACCACAGTAAAATTTGTGCTTGGTAGTAAACTAGTTTGTAAGTACATTAACTCAGTAAATCAGAATCAGTAAATCTATACTGGATACCTATATACTCTTTAAACACTCCTTCAAAACAAAACAAGTGGAGAAGGTAATGTTGGGTGTCCCGAATTTTAAATACTTTGCACATGTGTGTATAATTATTATAGAAATTAAAAGAAAATGGAAAAAATTGAAATGAATAAATTTGTAATATTACAAATTTTTTTTGGTCGATTATACCTCCTATGGCATTCGATCTAATGTAAAGGCTGTATAACTGCTCATTTACATAGGAAATGTGTCTATGTGTGTATATTCGTGTCTGTGCAAAGTATTAACAAGTAAAAAAGCTAAAGTCGGGTGTCCCGACTTTGAAATACTCTGTACATATGTTTACAATAATTATAGAAAATAAAAAAATTAAGAAAAAAAAAAATTGGATCGATTTTACCTTTCTCGGTATTCGAACTCACGTAAAGGGTGTATAATTGCACATTTACATAGCAATTGCGTCTGTGTGAGTGTATGTATGACTATTCGCATCTATCCGTGTGTGTGTAAACATGTGTGCAGTCAACCAAAGCACCAGCATCAACAGCCGCGGGCACCGCTGCAGCAGCGCTTGAGCAGCGCTGCAGCAGCAAATATATTTATGGCTATAGCTTCTTGTTAAATTGGTCTATCATAGTGAAACTTGGCATACGGACACATAATAACTAACTGGGGGCATTTGCAAAATTTTAGTTCGAAATTCTAAGAAATACGGGAGTTAGAGGAAATCGTATTTGCGGGGGAGAGGGGGGAGGGAGGGAAATTTCAAAATATACATTTTCTGCGTATTCACACAAGGCATATTGGACTAAAATTTGGTGTTCTTAAGTCTTATAGTCTCCGATATATAGGCGATTATACGAATGGAAAATCGGGAAAACCCCCATAGGGGGGAAAATCAAAAAAATAAAACAAACTCATATAGAATACACACATAAGGCATCTTTGTGGAAAATTTGGTGTCTCTATCTCTTATAGTCTCTGAGATCCAGGTGTTCATACGGACGGACAGACGGACAGACAGACAGACAGACAGACAGGGCTAGATCGACTCGTCTCGTCATGCTGATCAAGAATATATATACATTGTTGGGTCTGCCACGCCTCCTTCTGCCTGTTACATTTTTCAGCTTCCGCAAACCTAATATACTCTTGTACATTTCAAAATTCAAATTAAAAAAAATAAAATAAACTCGTCCTTACTCGGACCCAGGAGAATCTGGATGCCAACTTTGGTTATTCTAGCTTTTATAGTTTCTGAGATCCTCGCGTTCATCCAGACGGACAGACGGACGGACAGACGGACGGACAGACGGACGGACAGACGGACGGACAGACGGACGGACAGACGGACGGACAGACGGACGGACATGTCTAGATCGATTTCTCTCGTCATGCTGATCAAGAATATATATACTTTATGGGGTCGGAGATGCTTTCTTCTGTATGTTACATACTTTCCACAAACCTAATATACCCTTTTTACCCTACGGGTACAGGGTATAACAACAACAGATATGGGCAGCCATTGGATAGAGATTACATTTACGGGTATTATTATGCTTATACCCTCTACCCAAATGGTAAAAGGGTATACTAGTATTGTGGTAATGTATGCAACACACAGATGGAGGTGTGACAGACCCTACAAAGTTCATATGTATATTCATGATCAGCATGACAAAACGAGTGGATCTATGTCTGTATGTGCGTCTGTCCGTCCGTCCGTATGAACACCAAGAGAGCCTATAAGAGCTAGAGACACCAAATTTTGCAGGTAGATGTCTAATGTGTGTACGCTGCGCACGTTTATTTACTATACTCTGTACTTTGAAATGAAATGTACAAGAGTATATTAGGTTTGCGGGAGGTGAAAAATGTAACAGACAGAGGGAGCCGTGGCAGACCCAACAATGTATATATATTATTGATCAGAATGATAAGATGTGTCGATATAGCCATGTCCGTATGCCCGTCCGTCTGTATGAGCGCAAGGATCTCAGAAGGTACAAGGGCTAGAAATACCAAACTTGGTATTTATAAGAGCTAGAACAACCAAACTTGGTATCCAGATTCTCCAAACACCGAGGAAGTACGAGTTTCAGTTTTTATAGCCTGTACCAAAAGGGTAAAAGGCTATATTAGTTTTATGCGATAATAAGGAGGCGTGGCAGACCCAACAAAGTATATATATTATTGATCAGGATGACAAGGCGAGTCGATATAGCCATGTCCGTCTGTATGAACGCAAGGATCTCAGAAAGTAAAGAGCTAGAACAACAACTTGGTATTCAGATTCTCCTAATACCGAGAAAATACGAGTTTAAGTTTTTTTTTTCGATGCACCAACCACTCCCCTGCAATTCGTGTTTTTTTATAACTTCCGTAATTCTTGGAATTTTGAAAACAATTATGGTAGTTACATCCAGTTAATGCTTATGTATCCGTCTGCATAGTTTCATCATGATAGGTCAATTCTGAAGAAAGTTATAGCCACAAATAAAATCGCTGCCCATGCGCTGCCCGCAGCTGTTGTTGTAGTTGCTGCTTTGGTTCAACTTTGTGCTGCATACATATACTCATATAAACACGCTTAGACACGATGATGTAAATATATGCTGTAAAAACTGTACATAAACATGTCTTCTGTGTATGTATTAAAAAATTTTATTTATTACTTTAATTAATTAATTCAATTTTTTTTAACAATTTAATTTTTTAAATTTTCTTTTTTTGTGGAGAGTACAGGCTATTTTACTGTCGGGCTTGCTCGACTGTAGCGTTCTCTGTTGTTTTTATAGCCTGTACGCAAATGGTAAAAGGCTATATTAGTTTTGTGCGAATGTATGTAACACACAGAAGGAGGCGTGGCAGACCCTACAAATATATTCTTGATCATGGTGACAAGCCGAGTCGACATAGCCATGTCCGTCTGTCCGTCTGTCCGTCTGTCCGTCCGTCCGTCCGTCCGTCCGTCCGTCCGTCCGCTGCTCCGTTTTATTTTTTTATTCGTGTTTTTTTTCCATAACTCTCGTAATTCTTGCAATATCTTGGTAACTACATCCCGTTAGTGATTATGTGTCTGTATGCCAAGTTTTATTATGATAGGTCAATTCTGAAAATGTTCTAGCCATAAACAAAATCGCTGCCCATGCTCTGCTTGTAGCTCTGCCCGCAGCGGTTGTTGTTGTTGCTGCTTTGGATCAACTTTGTGCAGAGACACGATTCGGATGTAAATGTATGATGCTGTGACGCGGTATAAACAGTGCCGGCATTTCAGTGCACCTGTAGATACATGAATTGACCATCCAGGGCACATGAAGGTGTATACTAAGCACAAGAAATGCGATTTACAAGCCATATTCACGCACCATGCGTAATAAGTTCATAAATTGCGAAAGGTCGCAATTTAGGGGGGAAAACGCGACGCAAACAGACATTCAATAAAATAGCTTGGCAACACATATCATACATATAAGTACACATAAACCTGTACACCCATATTGTTTTAGCATAGATAATATTGGCACCATAGACTGCACGCGCACACGAATTGCAGGTACATTGACACTGGCCAGCCAACATAAGCAATAATAAGCAAGAATAAGACACATATTATTCTGCTACCTCAGCATAAGACCAACAATCAGGTCATAGTTTATGAACCAAATTGGGCTGACACCAGCATACGCAACCTCATAATATATGCTTGGGCATCATTATTGCGATACCGCCAACACATAGAAATAGTAAATGTAAGTAGTCATAAGCTAGTTTTAAGCATGGCTATATAAGCCATGAATTGTAAGAATAAAAACAGTATGCAAATTATCAACGAAGGGCCTGTTACTTTGGATCAGGAACCGCTGATCCTTATCACGCCGACTACCACGTTGACTACATGCTCCCAAGGATTGCCATCCGGTATCCTTGGTCACTACAAACGCCCTGCGTCGTTTCACTCAAGCGCATCCAGGACAACCGGTGGTACTCGCACCTACTGGACCACGAGGGTCCCTTGAAGCAGCAGGGCCACAAGTGCCTTTAATTAAACGGAGCACGAGTGTCCACCCAAACATCAAGCCGGACCACTAGGATCCCGCCTTGATAAACAGAAGGACAATAAGTCCTTTAGCTTAACTCGTCAGGACCACAATAGTCCTGCCGATTCGCACTACCGCACGTGTGCGAGTTGAAACTTTACATGAACATATATTTAATTTAATTAAATAATTTAATTAATATAAATTTTGTAAATTAATTAAAATTTTTTTTTAATTTTTTCTTTTTTGGTGGGAGGTACAGGGTATTTGAGAGTTGAGCTCGCTCGATTTAGCATTCTTTTCTTGTTTATGTATGTATGTACATATGTATTGAACATTTTTATTTAATTTAATTAATTTATTTATTTTTTATTCATTTTATTTTTCTTAATTTTTTCCAAAACTCCCGTAATTTTTGGAATTTTGTACTCAGGCTTGGCAAATACCTCCAGATATTGATTATATGTCTGTATGCCAAGTCGATAGCTCATTATGAAGAAAGTTATAGCCATAAACATAAAGCAAATTAATATAAATTAAAATAGCATAACTTTTCTTAATTTAAATAAAAAGGAAGATATTTCTTCTCGCTAATAGTTTTCTTGGCTTCTTTAATTTATATGCATTTACATACTTTTGTACGAAGTTACTATTGAACTAATAGCCGAAAAAATATTAGAAAATGCAAGTGCACGTGCACCCGCCGATATCATTCGTCATTTCGTTCGTGCGGGCATGATTGTAAACACGACGTTCGATCATTTCTGTGTCTTTGAGTCGAACTGACTGGTTGGCGAGCGTTCGTTTAAAACCAATCATTGCTTGCATTCATGCAAGAAGTTTCGGTCACAACCGCTCACTTCTGAGTTTTTGAAGTTTTGATTCGAACTGAGTGTTCGTTGAGGGCTCGTTCGCAACCAGTCATTGCTTGTCACTATACCCAAATGAAATAATCATACCGAGTATGGGTAAATACTCGAGTATGACCGAAAATGTAGTACTCGTTGCAGTTCTCTGGTGTGTATGCATGTTTGAATATTTTATATTTAATTAAATTAATTAAAATTTTTTAGTTATTATTATTTCTTGTTTGTGGGGTGGTACAGGGTAATTAAGAGTTGAGTCCGCTCGACTTTAACAAGAAAGGATCTTGTTAAATTTTCTTATTATTCAAAACAAATGTACAGACTATTTCAAAGTCGGGACACCCGACTTTAGCTTCTCTAGTTGTTAATCGTTTTACATTTACATATGTACAGAGTATTGTCGGGAAACCCGACATTAGCTTTTCCACTTGTTTTGCATTAATCCTTTTTTAAAATTTTAATAAGCACATATATTTTGAGAAAATGGCTAGCTGTCTGTTTTGTTGGTGAACGGACAAAAAAACATTCCTCAGCGTTAATTAGGCTAAATACAACTATTTTATGGTAAATCAATCAATTACGCTCACCTATAAACTTCTCAACACCTTTAATTACAATAGCCAGTGTACTTTGTCGCTGCTTTTGACGCAGTGTTATATACACGCCGTATTTAGTATTCAGGCCCATTATCTCGGAGGCGTCATTTTGATTATCCGGAAAGTCAAAGATCAGTGCTATTGGCAAATTGCCAAGCAATTGTTGTCGCGCCTTATATACATCGTCGATGCGACCACTAATTGTCACCTGTGACTTTTTAAGCGGTTTCACATTCATATCACTCAGATCGGGGAAAATTATTTTCGTCTGTGTGCGTTCCATGATGCTCAAAAGATAAATATTATTTTTTCCTTTTACAATCTCATGATGTTGTGGCGATATTTCCATTTGCACACTGACGAGAATTTGACTCTGTAACCGAAGTATCAGCACTTGCATTCAGTAAATAGATTTATAAGGATTTAATTTACTTACTGCAATACTCTCGCAAGCGAAATTAATCAACAATTGTGTAGCATCGCGAACCTGCGCAGACTCCTTTTCGGAGCCTTTAACTAGCACCAGAGATGTGTGTAGCTTTGGCCGTGTTGAAAATATTACCTATAGCAACAAGAATGATACAAAAATATTTATTATAAGTAGGTTAAGACGAAACAAGTAGAAAACATAATTCGGGTGTCCCGACTTTGAAATACTTTGTACATATGTGTAGAAGAATTATAGAAATTTTAAAAATTAAGAAAATTAACAAGAGAGAACGCTACAGTCAAGCAAGCCCGACAGTGTAATACCCTGTACCCAGGTAAACTTCCGTCACTGAGTTATATGCGCCCATAGCAGCAGCAAAAAGAGGAAGAAGAAGATCGAACTTGTTGCTGCAGTTTGGGGGGTTGCATTGGAGAGAATTTGTCTCGATAATAACTTTTCTTAGAATTGACCGAATTGGATAACATTTTGAACAACAGTAATTATATATAAATTATGTGTGCAAAGTTTTGTTTCGGTAGCATTTGAAATGTGGACGCTATTGACGAAATTCTGTAGCGTGGGAAGGGGGGCAAATTTAAAAAAAAAAAATAAACTCGTCCTTACTCGCACCTAGGAGAATCTGGATGCCAACTTTGGTTATTCTAGCTTTTATAGTTTCTGAGATCCTTGCGTTCATCCAGACGGACGGACAGACGGACGGACGGACAGACGGACGGACATGTCTAGAACGATTTCTCTCGTCATGTTGATTCAGAATATATATACTTTATGGGGTCGGAGATGCTTCCTTCTGCATGTTACATACTTTGCACAACCTAATATACTCTTTTTACCCTACGGGTACAGGGTATAAAAACAAACAAGAGTGAACGCTACAGTCCAGCAAGCCTGTACTCTCCACAAACAAGGAAAATTAAAAAATAATTTATTTACAAACATTCAATTAAGTCAATTAAATAAAATATATTTAATACATATATACAAGTATATACAAAAGTGAAGACATGTTTATGTACAGTTTCAACAGCATACATTTACATCATATTACATACATATGCGTGTTTATATGCGTGTATGTATGCAGTACATAATTAAGTCAAAGCAGTAACAACAACAACAGCTGCGGGCAGCGCCCCGGCGGTATTATTATGGCTATAACTTTCATATTAATTAACCTATCGTATATTGGCATACGGACTCATAATCACTAACTGGAGGTATTTGCCAAGGGTTTAGGGGTGCCTGAATGCCAAGTTTGGTTATCCTACCTATTGTACTTACTGAGATCCTTGCGCTCATACAGACAGACAGACGGACATGGCTATATCGACTCTCTAGGTCAAAAAATATATACTTTGTGGGGTCTGCCACGCCTCCTTCTGTTTGTTATATATAGTACATTCGTACAAAACTAGTACAGCCTTTTACCTTGTATGTTATTTGTTTATTCAAAAGAGCAAATATTCCCATTGCTAATGGGTCACAATTTCATTCACGTTGCTCGATATTCGCCTTAAGGTACATATTCGCATAACATCAGTTTTGGCAGCACCCTAAAACAATCTACCGCCGTTAAATCGCAAGCCTGAAGTGGCCAATCGACATTGCAGAAACAACCAGGATTCGCACAACGCGCACACTTCACACGCATGCAACGCTGCCGTGTGCTGTAATGTGCAGGCAGCGGAGGCAGTTGCGTGCGGGCAGGCCGAGCACTCGATCGTGCAGGCATATGTATGTATGTGTGAAATTTGTATGATGGTATGCTTGTGTGTATATACTTCAAGGCGGAATGTGCGCGATCCGTTTCATCCATTATATCTTCACCCAGCTGTTTTGTATGCGTTTGCATAGTGGTACCTGATACTATTTATACCCTGTACCCGTAGGGTAAAAATGGTATATTAGGTTTGTGCAAAGTATGTAACATGCAGAAGGAAGCATCTCCGACCCCATAAAGTATATATATTCTGAATCAGCATGACGAGAAAAATCGATCTAGACATGTCCGTCCGTCCGTCTGTCCGTCGGTCTGGATGAACGCGAGGATCTCAGAAACTATAAAAGCTAGAATAACCAAAGTTGGCATCCAGATTCTTCTAGGTCCGAGAAAGGACGAGTTTATTTTATTTTTTGGAATTTTCCACCCCTTCCCCCGCTACAGAATTTCGTCAATAGCGTCCACATTTCAAATGCTACCTAAACCAAACTTTGCACACATAATTAATATATAATTGTCTACTGTTGTATAAATTTTATTCAATTCGGTCAATTCTAAGAAAAGTTATTAGCAAAACAAATTCTCTCCAGTACAACCCCCCCCAAACTGCAGTAACAAGTTCGCTCTTCTTCTTCCTCTTTTTGCTGCTGCTATGGGCGCATATAACTCAGTGACGGAAGTTTACCTGGGTACATGGTATTACACAGTCGGGCTTGCTCGACTGTGGCGTTCTTTCTTGTTTATTATTGGTTTTATTATTTGTTTTCACGATGAAGTATTTTTTTTTGTAATTTAACTTATTCTTTGAGAACAAGTGGAGAAGCTAGAAGTACTCTGTATATGTACATATATGTTGTAGAACAATTATAAAAATTAACAAGTAAAAAAGCTAAAGTCGGGTGTCCCGACTTTGAAATACTCTGTACATATGTTTACTAATTAAAAAAATCTACTAGAAAAAAAAAAGAAAATTTAAAAAATTAAGAAAATTAAAAAACAATTTTTTAACGATATTACCTTTCTCGGTATTCGAACTCACGTAAAGGGTGTATAATTGCACATTTACATAGCAATTGCGTCTGTGTGAGTGTATGTATGCCTATGCGCATCTATTCGTGTCTGTGTAAGCATTTTCGCAGTCAACCAAACAGCAACATCAACAACAGCCGCGGGCAGCGCTTGAGCAGCGCTTGAGCAGCGCTGCAGCAGCAAATATATTTATAGCTATAACTTCTTGGTAAATCGGTCTATCATAGTGAAACTTGGCATACGGACACATAATTACTAACTGGGGGTATTTGCAAAATTTTAGTTTGAAATTCCAAGAATTACGGGAGTTAGAGAAAATCGCATTTGCTGGGGAGAGGGGGGAGGGAGGGAAATTCCAAAATATACATTTTCTGCGTATTCACACAAGGCATCTTGGACTAAAATTTGGTGTTCCTAGGTCTTATGGTCTCCGAGATATAGGCGATTATACGAATGGAAAATCGGGAAAACCCCCATAGGGGGGAAGTGGGGGGGAAAATCAAAAAAATAAAACAAACTCGTATAGAATACACACATAACGCATATTTGTGCAAAATTTGGTGTCTCTATCTCTTATAGTCTCTGAGATCCAGGTGTTCATACGGACGGACAGACGGACAGACAGACAGACAGGGCTAGATCGACTCGTCTTGTCACGCTGATCAAGAATATATATACTTTGTGGGGTCTGCCACGCCTCCTTCTGCCTGTTACATTTTTCAGCTCCCGCAAACCTAATATACTCTTGTACATTTCATGTACAGAGTATAAAAATTAAGAAAATTACAAAAAACTAAAATTATTTTTGTTCGATTTAATATCGAATAAAAAGGGTAAAGGGTTTATAACTGCAGATTATCATAGTGTGAGTTCCTATGCGTGTTTGTGTCTATCTGTGTGTATCTTGTGTGCCGCAACAACAACAATAGCTGCAGGCAGTGATTACATACTTGTATATGGCTATAACTTCCTGTTGACTCGGTCTATCATAATGAAACTTTGGATACAGGCTTTTAATCTCTAACTGGAGGTACTTGAAATTTGAATTCTAAATTTTAAGAATTACGAGAGCTATGGAAAATCGCGGCGGACAGGGAAAACGGAGGGAAATTCCAGAATACATAGTCTCTGAGATGATATAGATATATATATAGATGATTATACGAACGGTGTTTCCAAAAATCACTAATAGGGGGGAGGGGGTTGTATCAAAAAATTAAACAAACTCGTATAGTGGAGCATAGGGCGCCTGTATACAAAATTTTGTGTCTCAAGTTTTTATAGTCTCTGAGATCCAGGTGTTCAGGTGTTGATCAACTCGTCTTGTCATGCTGACCAAGAACATATATACGTACTTTGTTGGGTCTGCCACGTCTCTATCTGTCTGTTACATTTTTCATTTCCCGAAAACCTAATATACTCATACACTTCATGTACAGAGTATAAACAGCAAATTTTACAATTTATTTATATAATAGAGTATACCAACTCAGGTTGCGGTTGATCAGATCAAAAACAAGATAAAACGATACAGTCGAGCAAGCCCGACAGTAAAATACAAGTAGAGTGTACTCTCCACAAAAAATTAAAAAAAAATTAAATTTTTTTAAAAACCAATAGAGAACGCTACAGTCGAGCAAAAAAAAAATTAAATTATTAAATAAAATTTAATCAATTAATGAATTAAATTCAATTAGAAGACATGCTTATATTCAGTTTTAACAGCATACGTTTACATCACGTGCCTATGCGTGTATGTATGCAGCACAAAATTGAACCAAAGCAGCAACAACAACTATAGCTGCGGGCAGCGCTACCGGTAGAGATGCAGGCAGCGAATGAGCAGCGATTTTATTTATGGCTATAACTTTCTTCAGAATTGACCTATCATGATGAAACTTGGCACACGGACACATTAGCATGTAACTGGATGTAACTACCAAAATTGATTGCGGGGGGGTGGGGGGTGTATCAGAATAAAACAAGTAGAAAAGCTAAAGTCGGGTGTCCCGACTTTGAAATACTCTGTACATATGTTTACAATAATTAAAGAAAATAAAAAAATTAAGAAAATGAAAAACAAGAGAGAACGTTACAGTCGAGCAAGCCCGACAGTGAAATACCCTGTACCCAGGTAAACTTCCGGCACTGAGGTACGAGCTTCTAGCAGAAGCAAATGGAAGAAGAGCGAACTTGATGCTGCAGCTTGTGGGCGTAGTACAGAAGTAAAATTGTTTCGCTTATAACTTTTCTTAGAACTAACCGATTTAGAAAATTGAAATTGAAACAAAGGTAGATAATTATATATAAATGATGTGTGCAAAGTTTGGTTTAGGTAGCATTTGAAATGTGGACGCACATTTACATAGCATTTGCGTCTGTGTGAGTGTATGTATGCCTATGCACGTCTATTCGTGTCTGCGTAAGCATGTTCGCAGTCAACCAAAGCACCAGCATCAACAACAGCCGCGAGCAGCGCTTGAGCAGCGCTGCAGCAGCAAATATATTTATGGCTATAACTTCTTGTTAAATCGGTCTATTATAGTGAATATATTATATAGTTGGCACACGGACACATAATAACTAATTGGGGGTATTTGCAAAATTTGAGATCGAAATTCCAAGAATTACGGAAGTTAGAGAAAATCGCAATTTGCGGAGGAGACGGGGGAGGGAGGGAATTTCCAAAATATACATTTTCTGCGTATTCACATAAGGCATCTGGGACTAAAATTTGGTGTTCCTAGGTCTTATAGTCTCCGAGATATAGGCGATTATACGAATGGAAAATCGGGAAAACCCCCATAGCGCATCTTTGTGCAAAGTTTGGTGTCTCTACCTCTTATAGTCTCTGAGATCCAGGTGTTCATACGGACAGACAGGCAGACAGGCCTAGATCGACTCGTAGCGTCATGCTGATCAAGAATATATATACTTTGTGGGGTCTGCCACGCCTCCTTCTGCCTGTTACATTTTTCAGCTCCCGCAAACCTAATACAAGTATACTTCTGTACATTTCATGTACAGAGTATAAAAATAAACTTGACCTCTGAGTTGACCTCTTGTACTTCCTGAGATCCTTGCGCTCATACAGACAGACGGACATAGCGTTATCGACTTCTCTTCTCATCCTGATCAATAATATATATACTTTGTGGGGTCTGTCACGCCTCCTTCTGTGTGTTACATACATTCGCACAAAACTAGTATAGCCTTTTACTCCTTGTGTACAGGCTATAAATACATATGGGTACAGGCTATAAATATATATATATACAAAATGAATACAAATTGAAACATTATATTGAGCCGGGTTAAGACGGGCAATACCTGCTAGTTTATTTTATATAAAAGTCTTTATAGTCTAAAACGAATGTAAGGCATGTGTTCATAATGCTTGAGGTGACGCTGATAAACTATGGATAGAAGGAAACTGCCCCCAGAGCCGGAAGGAGTTCAAATATTGACCAGACGTTCACCAGCTTTAGTCTTGCGACACAACAAACTAGCGGGTGTCCCACATATAATCAACCACGAGATACATATATAAGATACGCTCGCATAACTATTATAAACTAACTAGTTTAGTACATATGTAAAACTCTTTATGTGACTAGTGCTATAACATATAAGTAACTCTACTTGTTGCGCTAGGAAGTAATTAACAATAAATAAATAAAAATAAATAAACTACAACACAAGCATCGCCTGCCAAAGCTGCGGATAGAAAGACTCTACTTTCGACAATGAAACGATTGTTCTATTCTCCAGTCGTCAAAAGAACTTAGGCGTTCTTCGAGATGAAAATAAAGACAGACGGAAGGACATGACTAAATATACGTATATACCTTTTTATCCATTGGCTACAATCTAGAACAATAAAGGAATGCTAAAATCGAGCGGGCTCGACTCTTAAATACCCTATACCCACCCCACAAAAAAACAAGTGGAGAAGCTAAAGTCGTGTCCCGACTTTGAAATACTCTGTACACAGACACACACAAATACACACATGCACGCATAGTCACGCATAATTATTCTACACATATGTAGAGAGTACTTCTCTACTTGTTATGTCATAAAACCGATCGGACGCAAAATATCATAGCAACCAAATTCGATATTAATGACATTTTATAGTGCCTCACCATAATCTCAAATTTGCCTTAAATCGCTGAACAATATAATATACCTATTATAGCAATTTTAGTATACAAAGTTTATTTAGTACAACAAAGTTTATTTTAATTTAATGGCAATATCGGGGAAAAGGGTGGGTACAGGGTATTTAAGAGTCGGACTGGCACGTTTTTGATATTCTACTCGTTTTTACTTTACATTTCAACTTATAATACAATTTTTAATCTTCAACTGACCTGAACATTAAACTTCGTTTCAATCATTTTGATATATGGCGTCTCATGATCCGGCTGTACCTTTCCTGGTCCCATGACGGGCATCTCAAAAGATATCAAAAGGGGAGTTGATAGTCGTACTAAGGCACGTGCTCGTTCTACCCCCTCCAAACTGCCGCAAAGCGACACTTGATTGGATTTCTCTGTGGGATTAGAACGATTTGAATCGGGGAAGTGTATGTGAGTGTGCGTGTCGTCCATAATGCGTTTGATATTGTTGCCGCCCCTTCCAATAATGTAAGAGTGATCCGTATAGCTAACGTCCATTTTCATAATGACGCGAGTACCCTAAAAAAGCTTGAAGATCAGAAGTGCGCATTTATACATATGTACAGTTTTCCACCTACTCTCGAGTCCAAACTGCTCAAAATACGCTCCTTAGCGAGCTGCACCTGTTCTACTTTCCCCACTATTCGTACATGAGGATCTGTAAATAGGACTTAAGGTATTTCAAAATTTACAATATCGATATTCCACTTACCCTTCTTGCTCTTTGCGCCAATTTTAAGTCTGCAAGGCCAGCTCACATAGGTCTCTGTATTGTTCATAATCTTTGAAGTAAATTATAAATTAGACTGTGAAATTTTTTACTGATGCCAACAATTACTAGATTTAACTTAAAATTTAATTGCATAAAAATTTTTGGTTTTATTTTATTATATATAGTATGTATATATTTGCATATTTATGTAGAAAACAAGGCATGCTGTTTAACACTTAAATAATAAACGAATAATAAACATAGTCAATAAATTTAAAAAATAACAAGTAAAAAAGCTAAAGTCGGGTGTCCCGACTTTGAAATACTCTATACACATGTTTACAATAATTATAGAAAAAAAAATTAAGAAAATTAAAAAAAAACAAGTAAAAAAGCTAAAGTCGGGTGTCCCGACTTTGAAATACTCTGTACATATGTTTACAATAATTATAGAAAATAAAAAAAATTAAGAAAATAAAAAAAATTCAATGATTGATTTTACCTTTCTCGGTATTCGAACTCACGTAAAGGGTGTATAATTGCACATTTACATAGCAATTGCGTCTGTGTGAGTGTATGTATGCCTATGCGCATCTATTCGTGTCTGTGTAAGCATTTTCGCAGTCAACCAAACAGCAACATCAACAACAGCCCCGGGCAGCGCTTGAGCAGCGCTGCAGCAGCAAATATATTTATGGCTATAACTTCTTGGTAAATTGGTCTATCATAGTGAAACTTGGCATACGGATACATAATTACTAACTGGGGGTATTTGCAAAATTTTAGTTTGAAATTCCAAGAATTACGGGAGTTAGAAAAAATTGTGATTTGCGGAGGAGAGGGGGGAGGGAGGGAATCTCCAAAATATACATTTTCTGCGTATGCACACAAGGTATCTTGAACTAAAATTTGGTGTTCCTAGGTGTTATAGTCTCCGAGATATAGGCGATTATACGAATGGAAAATCGGGAAAACCCCCATAGGGGGAAGTGGGGGGGAAAATCAAAAAAATAAAACAAACTCGTATAGAATACACACATAAGGCATCTTTGTGCAAAATTTGGTGTCTCTATCTCTTATAGTCTCTGAGATCTAGGTGATCATACGGACGGACGGACAGACGGACAGACAGGGCTAAATCGACTCGTCTTGTCATGCTGATCAAGAATATATATACTTTGTGGGGTCTGCCACGCCTCCTTCTGTCTGTTACATTTTTCAGCTCGCGCAAACCTAATATACTTACTCTTGTACATTTCATGTACAGAGTATAAATAGTTGCCACCACCCACTCTTAATTGTTTTACTTGCAGCCAATGTTTCACTCTGTACCTGCTGCCTACTCCGTTTTAGCTTCACCCTGCTGTTTTGCCTACGTTTGCACAGTTGTACCTGATACTATTTTTTAAAGATCCGTGGAGTTGCAACTTGTAGTAATCCAAAGGGACTTTAGTACCTATTTATTCCCATACTAATAAACCTACAGTCAATTCGTACAGTTCTTTAGAATAGTATAAAATTAGAATAAAATAGAATAGAAAAATATATTGTAAATAAACTACAAATGATCTATTTATAATCTATAGCCATAATATTAAAAGAATAAATATAATGCAAACGTACGCACAATAACTGAGTGTAGCTATGTATAAGGGATGAAACGGGTCGCGCACATTCTGCCTTGAAACACAGCCATGCCATCATACAAATTTCACACATCACACATACATACATATGCCTGCCTAGCACGATCGAGCGCTCGGACGCTGCCTACCTACTCAAAACTGCTCACCGCCTCTGCCGGCCTGCACGATACTGCTAAAGGCAGCGCTGCATTTGTGTGCAGCAGCGAGTAGTGTGCTCGTTTTACGAACCCTGCTTGCAGCTTTATCACTAATTGCAGGGGAGTGGGTCGTAGAAAGAAAATTCTGTAATACACCTTTTCTGCGTATAAGGCATAAGGCATCTTGAACTCTAGCTCTTAAAGTCTCCTGGATATAAGTGATTATACGAACGGCGCGTAACTATCCTATGGGGGGTATGTGGTTGTATCAGAGCCTAGCCCTTAAAGTCTCTGAGATATAGGCGATTATACGGATGGAATCGGGAAATGGAAAATCGGGAAATACCCCATAGGGGGAAAGTGGAGGGGAAAATAAAAAAAAATAAAAAAAACAAACTTGTATAGCGTACACACATAAGGCATCTTTGTGCAAAATTTGGTGTCTCTACCTCTTATAGTCTCTGAGATCCAGGTGTTCATACGGACGGACGGACAGACAGGGCTAGATCGACTCGTTTCGTCATGCTGATCAAGACTATATATACTTTGTGGGGTCTGCCACGCCTCCTTTTGCCTGTTACATTTTTCACCTTACGTAAACCTAATATATACACTCATAAAATTCATGTATAGAGTATAACAAGCTAAAAAATATACCCTTCACAAGAAAACTATATTCTATCATGAATATATAGACGCAATATATATACTCTACTATTCCTGTACATTCTTATCCTTTATCCTTTATTAGAAAGCATTTCTTACTTGTTTTTTATTTCGTGACCCATAGTCACATTTCACGACATACTCGTATGAATGATTACTACAATATTCTCAATATGCCATTTGGTTCAAATATGAAAACAAGATAGAATGCTGCAGTCGAGCAAGCCCGACAGTAAAATACCCTGTACTCTCCACACAAAAAAAGAAATTAAAAAAAATTTTTTTTAAATTTAATTAATTTAAATAAATTATGTATAAAATATTCAACACATGCATACATACATATGTGTTTATGTAAAATTTCAGTAGAAACAAGTAAAAAAGCTAAGGTCGGGTGTCCCGACTTTGAAATAGAATAATTATAGAAATTTAAAAAATTAAGAAAATTAAAAAACAATTTTTTAACGATATTACCTCTCTCGGTATTCGAACTCACGTATACTGTGTATAAGTGCACATTTACATAGCAATTGCGTCTATGTGAGTGTATGCGCGTCTATTCGTGTCTGTGTGAGCATGTTTGCAGCAAAGCAGCAACAACAACCACAGCTACGGGCATGAACATGTCTCCACTTTTGTATATATGTATGTATTGAATAATTTGTATTTAATGTAATTAAATAATTTAATTAATATAATTTTATAAAATCAATCAAATTTTTCCTTTTTTGTGGGTGTGTACCATATTTAAGAGTTGAGCTCGCTCGAATTTGGCATTCCTTTCTTCTTTTATATTGCTATATTGTATGGTAATTCCTTTTTATACCCTGTACCCAAAGGGAACAAGGGTATATTAGTTTTGTGCGAGTGCACATGGAACACACAGAAGGAGGCTTGGTAGACCCCACAAAGTATATATATTCTTGATCAGCATGACAAGCCGAGTCGATATAGCCATGTCCGTCTGTCTGTGTGTATGAACGCAAGGATCTCCGAAAGTATAAGAGCTAGAATAACCAAACTTGGTATACAGATTCTCCTGAGACCGAGAAAGGACGAGTTTGTTCATTTTTTCTGATCCACCCCCCCACTCCCCCCTATTACCGATTTTCTATAACTCCCGTAATTCTTGGAATTTTGAACTAAACTTTGGTAGTTACATTAGGTTAGTAATTATATATCCGTATACCAAGTTTCATTATGATAGAATGATCGGAAAGAAAGTTATAGCCATATAACCAGGCCCAATGCACACATACATACATATGTACAAGTACACAAACACGCATAAGGCACGATTCTGATGTAAATGTAAATGTATGTATGCATGCATGGAATATTTTATATTTAATTAGTTAATATTTAGTTAATTAATTAAATTAATGTAGTTAATTAATTTAATTAAATTAATTAATTAATTTAATTACTTTTTTGTGGGGTGGTACAGGGTATTTAAGAGTTGAGCCTGCTCGACTTTAGCATTCCTTTCTTGTTTATACTCTGTACATGAAATGTACAAGAGTATATTAGGTTTGCGGGAGCTGAAAAATGTAACAGGCAGAAGGAGGCGTGGCAGACCCCACAAAGTATATATTCTTGATCAGCGTGACAAGACGAGTCGATCTAGCCCTGTCTGTCTGTCTGTCCGTCCGTATGAACACCTGGATCTCAGAGACTATAAGAGGTACACACACCAAATTTTGCACGAAGATGCGTTATGTGTGTATTCTATACGAGTTTGTTTTATTTTTTTGATTTTCCCCCCACTTCCCCCCTATGGGGGTTTTCCCGATTTTCCATTCGTATAATCGCCTATATCTCGGAGACCATAAGACCTAGGAACACCAAATTTTAGTCCAAGGTGCCTTGTGTGAATACGCAGAAAATGTATATTTTGGAATTTCCCTCCCTCCCCCCTCTCCCCAGCAAATGCGATTTTCTCTAACTCCCGTAATTCTTGGAATTTCGAACTAAAATTTTGCAAATACCCCCAGTTAGTAATTATGTGTCCGTATGCCAAGTTTCACTATGATAGACCGATTTACCAAGAAGTTACAGCCATAAATATATTTGCTGCTGCAGCGCTGCTCAAGCGCTGCCCGGGGCTGTTGTTGATGTTGCTGTTTGGTTGACTGCGAAAATGCTTACACAGACACGAATAGATGCGCATAGGCATACATACACTCACACAGACGCAATTGCTATGTAAATGTGCAATTATACACCCTTTACGTGAGTTCGAATACCGAGAGAGGTAAAATCGATCCAATTTTTATACTCTGTACATGAAATGTACAAGAGTATATTAGGTTTGCGGGAGCTGAAAAATGTAACAGGCAGAAGGAGGCGTGGCAGACCCCACAAAGTATATATATTATTGATCAGCGTGACAAGACGAGTCGATCTAGCCCTGTCTGTCCGTCTGTCCGTCCGTATGAACACCTGGATCTCAGAGACTATAAGAGATAGAGACACCAAATTTTCCACAAAGATGCGTTATGTGTGTATTCTATGCGAGTTTGTTTTATTTTTTTGATTTTCCCCCCCCACTTCCCCCCTATGGGGGTTTTCCCGATTTTCCATTCGTATAATCGCCTATATCTCGGAGACTATAAGACCTAGGCACACCAAATTTTAGTCCAAGATGCCTTGTGTGAATACGCAGAAAATGTATATTTTGGAATTTCCCTCCCTCCCCCCTCTTCCCATCAAATGCGATTTTCTCTAACTCCCGTAATTCTTGGAATTTCGAACTAAAATTTTGCAAATACCCCCAGTTAGTAATTATGTGTATTATGTATGTATGCCAAGTTTCACTATTATAGACCGATTTACCAAGAAGTTATAGCCATAAATATATTTGCTGCTGCAGCGCTGCTCAAGCGCTGCCCGCGGCTGTTGTTGATGTTGCTGTTTGGTTGACTGCGAAAATGCTTACACAGACACGAATAGATGCGCATAGGCATACATACACTCACACAGACGCAATTGCTATGTAAATGTGCAATTATACACCCTTTACGTGAGTTCGAATACCGAGAGAGGTAAAATCGATCCAATTTTTTTTTCATTTTTTTTTTATTTTCTATAATTATTGTAAACATATGTACAGAGTATTTCAAAGTCGGGACACCCGACTTTAGCTTTTTTACTTGTTTTTATTTGTGCCTGTCAAAAAACAAGAGAGAACGCTACAGTCGAGCAAGCCCGACAGTGTAATACCCTGTACCCAGGTAAACTTCCGTCACTGAGTTATATGCGCCCATAGCAGCAGCAAAAAGAGGAAGAAGAAGAGCGAACTTGTTGCTGCAGTTTGTGGGGGTTGCACTGTAGAGAATTTGTTTCGCTAATAACTTTTCTTAAAATTGACCGAATTGGATAAAACAAGCTGGATAAACAACAGTAGATAATTACATATAAATTATGTGTGCAAAGTTTGGTTTAGGTAACATTTGAAATGTGGACGCTATTGACGAAATTCTGTAGCGGGGGAAGGGGGGGAAAATTCCAAAAAATAAAATAAACTCGTCCTTTCTCGGACCTAGGAGAATCTGGATGCTAACTTTGGTTATTCTAGCTGTTATAGTTTCTGAGATCCTTGCGTTCATCCAGACGGACGGACAGACGGACGGACGGACTGTCTAGATCGATTTCTCTCGTCATGCTGATTCAGAATATATATACTTTATGGGGTCAGAGATGCTTCCTTCTGCATGTTACATACTTTGCACAAACCTAATATACCCTTTTTACCCTACGGGTACAGGGTATAAAAACTTGGTAAAAAGTTTTATCCAAAACTGTGATTTCAACAGACAGACGGATTGTGGGACATTATGATTTGGATTCGTTTCATCATGCTGATCTTTTCTTTCTTTCTTTCTTCTGGATATTAAAATTTTGCACATCACAAACAAAATACCCTTAAAAAGTGATATCCTTTACTTTTTTTGGTGATTACTTACTTTATCAAAGAAATACTCTGCGCCATTCATGCCTTCAACAGAACTGGATACTGCGTATTTTAAATAAAGCTAAAATAAATTTTAAGAATTCCTTTGATATTCTATCAGCTATCAAAGCTCACCCTTTAATAATTGCTCCAACTTCTGGCGATCCACCTTGAAACGTTCGGTGTGCAAATCTTCCGGATTTTGCACGCCCAATTTCAGTGCAATGGTTCGAATATCACTCCAATCGCTATCTACCGAAGAGATTTCGCTTTGTGTCTCGCTCGGAGCGTTGCTGCCTTTCAACAATGGCGGTAGATTTGTGAGAGTACTGAGATCGCCTGCAGTATTAGCCGTTTCATCATGGCATTCAATGTCAGATACAGAAGCACAAACATCTGAAACTGTTGCTGACGTGGAATAGAGAAGTTTGTTCAATGAAGCACAGGACAGCATTTTGCTATGTTTTTTGGTAGCAAATTTTTATTTTATTTTATTAGTTTAATGTTGCTCCCAGATGGTTCTTATTATGTTGAGTGAAAATGTGTAATGATCAGCGAGTGTGTTTGTTCAATGGTGTGTTTGTTTTTGTAGTGCAATGCCGATACTTGATTGGCGCTGTAGTGATAAAAGAAAATTAATTTTACATCTAAGAATTTTCACAATATCAGTAATACTTTATTTCCATGTAACCAGCATATTATTAATCAAAGGTGGGGAGAGTTACCCATACAGCTTAATCTTCAATTGCTAACCAAACTTCTATATAATATATGTATCTATGTACGTATTCAAAGGCTTACATCATTAGGAAAAAATATTCCTTTGGGGAATTTTGGGGGAACTTTCCCCAGTTATATTTTGGAACATATGTAGTTGAATTAATAAGGGTTCTAACTAATCCCACAGGTAGTTTTACTGATAATTTGCAAACATGGCAAAAAATAATAGCATATTCTCGTAATACTTGTATAATGGTGCAGTTTTATTCAGGGTTTTGTCCATTGGTGTATTAATGGTCGATGCAACCTTAAAAACAAAAATTATGATTTTTAAAGATGGTTTTTTTATTTATTTTACATTATTATTACATTGATTTCATAACCTCCTATTTATTTACTTATAAGACTAAAGTGCCATGCGGCAAAAGGTTTTCGAAACGGAAATGAAAGAAGCAAAGAAGGGCACGAAATGGGACGATAAATAATTCCAAGCCATATTTGCGGCTGAAATGTTTGCCGTTAGTTATCAATGCCCACAGAAATGGAACTTCCTTTTATGCTATCTTTGACTTTCACCCGCTGCTTTGGCTTACCGCTATTCTGACTACGACTTTTGATTAACAAAGCCGCTGATGTCCAAACAAATAGCACGCGTGATATCCTCCACAAATTGTATAGTCTCGATCAGACAAACGTTCACAACAAAATTACGTATTTGTAAGAATTTCTCGACGAAAAGCATTTGTAGTCAGCACAACAAAAAGTTTAAAATTTGAAAAGGTTTTTTTTTGAATTTTTATTATACAAGCGCAAAAGTAAAAAATTATTTTTAAGTTTTATGTGCGACGAAATAAATTTATATTTTAGTTATACTTGTATGACAAGGTACTTATTGCTACCAATTGTAAGTACAACTTGATGGCAACTAAAAGGTGCGGCAAATCATGGGCGGCAATCACTGCTAAAAGTTTAAACTGTACATTTGAGCATAATGCCAAGGCAGGGTAATGGGTAAAAAGCTTCTATGTAGTTGTGTCGTGAAGAGAAAGGCTCAATTCTTGTGCTGGGTCAATGAACCGTTTGTTTAAACAGAGTGCACACAGCTGCAATTGTCATACATAAGCAAAACAAAATAGACGGCTGAGAGATAGCGGCAGCAACATTTATGGTCAGCACATATGTGCGTTACTGTAGCTCAGCAACATATTGTCTAGTGCTGTCAACAATAAACTCAAGTTCAGTATGTTGCAGAGAGAGGTAAATTTAAAAACATGTTGACAGCAATATTTTAAATATTCGTTTTGACAGCGCTCATACTAAAGCGTCTAGGCATCCAATTTGGAGCTGGAGTTTGTATTAATTCGGGCAAAAATCATCTTACCGTGTTTTTAAATGAGCACAGATATAAACTTATAAAGAAATAATAATTCAAAATTTGTTACTTGTGTTGTTTTAACACGCTCAGAATTATTTTGTATTGGTATTTAACGCACAAATCGTTTTAATAAAATTACCCGCTAGTTTGTTTTAAAGTTAAAATCATTATTTGGGCTTATTAGATTTAGGCGGAATAATACTCGATCAAAGAGTCACATTGCGTTTGGAGTGACGCCTGATAATAATATAATAATTGGTGTGTTTTACTAGGCACGAAAAACACTACCGAAGTGGCAAAATAAACAGGCGGCATTGAAGGACAATAATTTGGGCGGAGCACGTGGACTTAAAAACACATAGCAAAAAGACGAGTATAAATTATTTTCGATTATATCATTTTACAAAGTTATAATATTGAAAAAATAACTGTATTTTGCAAATAATTTCTATTAGTCGTCTTGTAAAATTTTATTTAATCTGTCGTAATTATATCCGGCGTGTTGCTGTCGTCGTCTTCGTCATCGAAGCGAGTTGACTTATCGAATTGTCTGGGGCCACTGGGGTTGTCTCTTGGCTGTTGTCCGAGCTGACCTTCAGTAAAGCTTTTTGCGACAGATAATGTGTGCAGTAATAGTAACTTCACATAAGGCATAGTGCAAGTCTCAGTGGTTTGTTTTATTTGGCAAACGGTTTCTCCAGAAGCTTTATCTTTAATATACAGTAATTAACAAGTATAAAAGCTAAAGTCGGGTGTCCCGACTTTGAAATACCCTGTAAGAATAATTGTAGATATTAAAAAAGTAAGATAATTAAAACAAGAAAGGAATGCTAAAGTCGAGCAGGCTCAACTCTTATATACCCTGTACCACCCCACAAAAAAAGAAATTAAATTAATTAATTAATTAAATTTAATTTAATATAAAATATAAATATAAAATCTTCCATACATGCATACATACATTTACATTTACATCAGAATCGTGTCTATGCGTGTTTGTGTACTTGTACATCTGTATGTACGTGTGCATTGGGCCTGGTTATATGGCTATAACTTTCTTTCTGATCAACCTATAATGGAACTTGGTATACGGATATATAATTACTAACTGGATGTGTCTACCAAATTTTAGTTCAAAATTTTGTTGTACCCTTTGGGTACACGGTATAAAAAACAAGTAAAAAAGCTAAAGTCGGGTGTCTCGACTTTGAAATACTCTGTACATATGTTTACAATAATTATAGAAAATAAAAAAAATTAAGAAAATTAAAAAAAAAAATTTTGATCGATTTTACCTCTCTCGGTATTCCAACTCACGTAAAGGGTGTATAATGTAAGGGTGTGTATGTAAGTATGTGCAATCAACGCACAGCCCAAATGGGAAGCGTTAAAAAGCTGTCAAAGTGTAGGTGAGCACCAAGAAGTGGTTTTAGAAAAATAGTCATCCGATTAACTTTAAACTTGGTTTATGTATTTACTTTGAGAGAGAATACAGAATAAAATGTGTTGTATTTTTGTAACCTTTCATTAAAGAGTAGAAGAAATAATTATGATATACTTACATATGCATATACTATCATACTATATATGTACATAAATATACATACATATGTATGCACATATAACCATACATAGTATTTATTGTACTTTATGTCCTAGCTCTCGAAAGTAATTTGCTATTTGGGAAATGAACTCTTTAGAAGCTTTAGAGTGTTGGAAGAGAAATATCATATAATAAATAAACGTATAATTGTAAGCCCAAATACTGAGCCAGCAAAAACGGGCAAGACCTGCTAGTAGAGATATAGATGATTATACGAACGGTATTTCCGAAAATCCGCTATAGGGAGGAAATGGGGGATGTAGTTTCTGCAGTTTCTAAGATGCAGGTGCTCATACGGACGGACAGACTGACATACATAGACCGACACGCCTTATCGTGCTGATATATATATACTTTGTGGGGTCTGCCATGCCTTCTTCTGCCTGTAAATTTTTCACCCCCCGCCAACCTTGTACATTTCATATAGAGAGTATAACAAGAGAGAACGATGCAGTCAAGCTTGACAGTGAAATACCCTGTATCCAGTCAAAATTCCGGCACTAAATTATTTGCGCCCATCGCAGATGACAGTAAATCATACAAGGCCTTATTAAAGAGGAAGTGATAGAAGAGTATATGTAGTATACCTCATCGATCTGATTTTTGTCTGGAGTAGATCGCTTTTTTCGTCGAATTTCCTCAGTACCATCATTTGTGTCGGTTGGCTCAGGACTTACTTCCATCGGCAGCATAAACAAATTTTTGGTATCATCTTTGTTCTGGAAAAAAAAGCCTGCAGCTGTTTCTCAATATATTTAGTTAATATAATTACCACAGTTATACACATCAGCAGTTGTAGTATGAACATGCCAAATGACAAGAATGCTAGTGTTGTAAGCACGATATCAGTAATATCTTTCAAGCTTATTTCTTTTGTTGTCATGGGAAGCTGAATATCAGAACTCGGAGATTTCGGCAAAGACCGGACCGCGTAGTCGTCATAGTCACTTTCATAGCCTTAAAACAGTTAAATAAGAATAATATGAATACGTGAAAAAGCTATAGTCGGGTGCCCCGACTTTGAAACACTTTGCACCTATATATGCATATTATTTATATAATTAAAAAAAAAATTAACCACAAAATTTATTCACAATTATACATTCTTCGGGATTTGACCTCAAGTCTCTACGTGTGTCTCTGCGTCTCTGCTTGTGTGCAGTAAATAGTTGAGTAAAAGCACCAACAAAGACAAAAACAGCTGATGGCATAGCTTGGGGAGAGATGACATGATTGCCTTGAACTTCGTTTTAAATTTACTTATCATGATGAAACATATAGGCACATAATCACTGGAGGTATTTGCAAAATATTAGTTTAAAATTCCAAGAGTTACGGCAGTAATGGGGAAGCTCCAATAGCGGGGGACTGGACATACAATTTTGGAAATTCGTGGACTTTGTACTTGTGTAGGGTATGTGGGAGCAAAATTTGGTTCTTATAACTTTTATAGTCTTCAAGATCTAGGTACTGATGGACAGCCAAACAGACAGGGATAAATCGGCTCGTCTTAGCATGCTGATCAAAAATATATTTACATACAAGTATGTCAGCACCTTTCAGGCACAGACTATAAAATTGTTGTTAAGGAAATCGTACCCTTTTTATTAATTGATTTGATGTATGACCCAACCACTACCGGTGTGTTTGACCAAGGCATCTGAAACTTTAAAAGAAAAAAATCAGTTATTGCTTTATTCTGCCAACTACTTATTTATATTATACAAGTACATATGACTATCTAAGCAGTTTGAATAAATTCAACTTCGTAAAGTTGTCAAGACAAAGCCGTAAAATATTTTTTGAGTGCAGATACTTGTATACTAGCGTCCTGCCCCTGCTTCGCACGGGAATTTTTTAAAAATTTTAAATTTTCTTTTTGCTAGGAGTTACTAAGAAGGAGTAAAATATATTTTGGATATTATTATTTTAATGATTTTTTGTTAATTTTTAGTTTTTTTTTTTGTTATTTTTTATTATGTCAGAGGATCTATGTAAAAGATATTTGATGTTTTATTTTGTGGTAGCAAAATAAATTGATTTTCAGGAGCTCCGACCCGTGATAGGTCAACCTACGGTAAAACATTGCTTTCGTATGTCGACCCCTACTAATTCGAAGGCTTGGCCTTGGGACTACCGGAAACTGAAGCCATAGATCAAATGCGATCATCGGTATCCTCGTTATATGAGCTAGTTGACTGGGCCGTTAATAGTTGCTACACTTAAATTGTCCTGCAATTCCTTAATAAGCAGCCTCGTCCCATTGCACATGTTTGGAAGGCTTTAATTTCTTAAAAGCATGATTGCATTTCCAAATTTTAAATTCAATATACAAGATGCGTTCCAAAGTAAACAGGGCTTTTTGAATCTAGCGCCCCCTGGTGGCGCTAACTATATGTCGACTGGTGCGTTAGAATCTGCTATCTTTATCGAGGTGATTTCATGATATTTCATCGATTGGAAGTGAAGTTATTGCGTTTTAAGTGTCAGTATGTTTGTGTTATCGGTGCGAAAATGAGCTTCGAACAAAGAGCCAACATTAAATGTTGTTTTAAAATTGGTAAAACTACCGAAACGTTTCAGTTGAAGGTACAAGTTTATGGCGATGATTGCCTATCCCGTAGCTGAGTGCACGAGTGGTTTCACCGTTTTCAAAGTGGTCATGAGGACATAAATGACGATCAACATGTGGGCCAATCAAAATTCGTGATCACCGAAAATTCCATCGAAACTGTGCGTGAATTCATCAAAAATCAGCCGAATCATTTAAATTGATGGAAATGGAATTGAACATCTCCAAAATATCGATTTATCGCATTTTGACCGAACATTTGGGCTTACGAAAGGTGCACGGTTTGTTCCGCACAAATTGACTGACGACCAAAAATTGCTCAGAATCCGTCTCATCGATCGACGCTTGTGACTGATTATTTGACCAAAAATCACATTTTAACCATTAACCACTCGGCGTATTCACCTCATATGGCACCGTGCGACTTCTACCTTTTCGGAAAAATGCATTTGCCCATGAAAGGAAAGCGTTGTGCAGACGTAGAGGCCATTCAAAAGGCTTGCACCGGCATACTGGCGGCCATACCGGCCAACGAGCTAAAACACTCGTTCGACATGCTTTTGGATCGTGCAAAAAGCTGTATTGAAGCCGAAGGGGACTTTTTATACCCTGTACCCGTAGGGTAAAAAGGGTATATTAGGTTTGTGCAAAGTATGTAACATGCAGAAGGAAGCATCTCCGACCCCATAAAGTATATATATTCTGAATCAGCATGACGAGAGAAATCGATCTAGACATGTCCGTCCGTCTGTCCGTCTGGATGAACGCAAGGATCTCAGAAACTATAAAAGCTAGAATAAC